TGTGTGGGTGTGTGTTTGTGTGTGTGTGTGTGTGTGTGTGTGTGTGTGTGTGTTGGGGAGGACTAATGGACACGTGACTGCCTTATACCCTCTTTATAGGAATGTGGGCTCAAGGCTACCTCATGAAGGAGCCTGAGCCTGGGTTGCAGTGACCAGTGACCTATGATCCAAGTGAGAGAGACCTTTGTATGGTCCTCCTTGGAGGGATTCACACTCAGGCCTTGGGGAATCCAGCCTTAGCTCTCTTGGGATATAGGGAGGGCCAGTGTCAGTGGGTAACAGTGGCCTCCCAGATACATGCTGTCTCTGGAGTTTTCTTCATATGCGTTTGGAGTGTCACAGGAAACTGTGACAGGCCCTCCAGAGGTGGGTCATTTGACTTTGCCATCTGTATGGTGTTTTGATGGCACAGCTGCCCCAAAGTGACAGTCGTTGCTTCTCTGAGGTGGTTCAGCTTTCTGGGGTGGTTATTTGATTCAATAGTGGGAGTGACGATGATGGTGGGGTGCTCAGAACAATTTCTCTTTCCCCTCCTTTCAGTGGTGATCCTGCTGGGCTCTCCAAACAAGCCTGTGACATTGGAGCCAGGTCAGCCAACCAGTCCCCACAGTCGGTGGGCAGTTCGGGCATCGACAGCGGTGTGGAGAGCACCTCGGATGGCCTGAGGGACCTGCCGTCCATAGCCATCTCCCTCTGTGGTGGCCTCAGTGACCACAGAGACATCACCAAAGGTACTAGGCTATATGGGACAGCACCCTCTAGTGGCCGCTGGTCAGAAGGCCCTGGAGCTGAGGCTCATGCTTGTGGTTGATGTTAGCTCAGTTAGCTGTCCTCATAGAGCAAGGTCAGGGTACAAGGGCCTTCAGGCAGCAAGAAGGCTGTTGGGAGGCACTTATCCTTAGAGGTGATCATGGAGCACAATTGGTTGTCCCTGTGCTCAGGGCCAGCCCTGAAGAATGTTCATGGTGAGCCTGCAGGTGTGGGAGGTGGGGTGGGGCAGGGCCAGTTAGGCCCATCAGTCCTTCCTGTAACAGAGCATTGGGAGTGTTTGTGAAATCTCTGTGGCTGTAGAGGACAGAAGGGAGGTCGAATCAGTTTGGGGAATTCTGCAACCTTTCCCCACTGGGTTCTAGAGGCTGCCATGCTGGTAGGTCTTATGACTTATGCATACCATCTGCCATACTGGCAAGTGATGGCTGAATACCTTGTGACAGGTTCATGGTGAGTTGTGCCTGAGACTCCTAGCTGGTGCAACAGCAGCTATTGGCTGTTAAATTCTTGAACCAGACCCAATTTCCCTCCACCTCTCCTCCTCCCCTCCCTCCACCACCATTTTCTCTGTGTTTCCAGCAGGGGGTGGTGATGCTCTTATCAACCACACTACTTCCTCTTCCTGCTCCAGTGACTGCTGGGAAGTCCCTCCTAGGCTTTGCAGACTTCTTATGCACAGACTGGATTCTTTTATTCCAGCCTGGGTGCCACCAGCCCTTCCTAGAAACTTGTTTCTTTTATCCTTTGCATCTTCTAGGACCACAGCTCTGACTACTGTGTCTATTATATTCCTGAGCTGTGATGGGGTAGTGTGCTCCCTCACTCACTAGAGGAGCGGGGAGGCTGGTAATTTACTGACATTCCTTCCCTGTGCGTGCACAGTGGGGTAGTGGTGGGAATTCAGAGGCCCTGTGTTGTCAGATGTGACTGGAAGCCCCAGAGAAAGGGCGGGGGAGTACATTTTTGGGCCTCCATTCTGGGTTGACAGGACCAAGGGGCACTTTTCTTCCCGACAGGAGTGATCTGCTGTCTTTTGGCTCTTGGTTCCACCTAGAGCTTTAGGGTTCCCCAGGGGAGGAGTGTGAGTGGATTCCAGTCAGTGAGACTGAGTTCTAGTCAGAGGCCAGGGCATGGCCCAGCTCAGTGGGGAAGCTGAGGGAAGTCAGTGTTGTCCAGGGACACTCATCTCAGGAAGGCTGAGGACTGGGCCTTCTGATCCTACAGCCTTCCTGCCCAGAGGGACTGCTCTGAGCTTGATGATGGAGGGGGATGGGCATGGGCAGCACCATGGGCAGCACACTGCCCTGGCTCCCACCCTTTGCATAGATGGCAGCAGTTGGCATTGTAGCTGTCTGCATTGATCAAGCCCTCACTTTGGGCAGTGTGTTGACTGCCCTCCTCCCCCATCTTCAGGACCGGCCCCCCCCCACCAGAAGTGGCCATGTGTATGCTAGCTGGGTAGGTGGCGGGGTGGGGAGGGGGATGGGGATGGAGGAGAAGAGATGATTGAGATTTGAACCCAGTCACTTGTCCCAGGTGACTCAAGCCGGTATCCTTGGCAAGCATGACTCTACTGCTGCATGCAGGCTCCATGCCCCATGTGTTCTGTCCGTGTCATGATGTCTTAAGAGAATCCCCCCCCACCTCCACTCCCACCTGCAACAACAGCAACAACACAGCAGCAAAAGCCCTGCCAGGCTCAAGCTCCCTCTTCACAAGTGCATTCATTCATAGGATCTGTAGGACTTCCATTGGTAAACTCTCAGGCAAACACGTGGGAATGAGCAACCTGAAAACTGACCTGTTTCTTTAAAAACACACTCTGTGATTCTCTCTCTCCTGTGCTCCTGCTGCCACCCACCACAGATGCGTTTTTGGAACAAGCTGTGTCCTATCAGCAGTTCGCTGACAACCCCGCCATCATCGATGACCCCAATCTCGTGGTCAAGATCGGTAATAAGTAAGTTCCTGCTGACAGTCCTTTCTGTCAAGCCTTAATGAAGTCTTGTTAAACTTAATTATTGCCCTTCATTATTTGTAAAATTCCATGCCCCCGTGCAGCTGATGGGCTGAGATAATTGAGAGTCTTGTGGAGTGTGTGTGTGTATTCAGTGTAAGTGTATATATGTGGTGTACATGGTGTGTATATATGCATATATGTATGCATGTGGAGGCCAGAGATCCATATTGTCTGATCACTCTCCCCTTCTTTTGGTTTTGTTTTGCTTTTTGAGGCAGGATCTCTCTATGTAGCCCTGGCTGTCCTGGAACTATGTAGAGCATGTTGACTTCAAACTCACGGAGATCCTCCTGTCTCAGCCTCTCTAGTGGATGAGATTAAAGGTGTTTCCCACAGTGCCCTGTCTTCTACCTTAGGTTTTGAGGCAGAGTGTCCCACTCAACTGCAATTTGCTGGTTTGGCTTAGCTGGCAGACAGGCAAGTCCTAGGAATCCTCCTGTCTCCACCTCCCAGTACTGGACTTATAGGTTTGTGCCACAGGGCTGGCTTTTCAGTGTGGGTGCTGGGGATCTGAAAGGACAATGACAGGCATCTACTGATCTGGCTCCCCAGCCCCACTTTGTGGATGTTAATATGTGCCTGTACCAGACCATGAAACTGACCATGTCAGGCGTGGTGCTTGGACTGTGGGACTCCGACCCTATCTTGTCCTGGGTCTAAGGGTGCAGCTGCCCTTTAGCGTGGAAACATCACCATATGTGATCAGTCTGTGGTGTGCAGTGGACTCTGGAGACTCTCACTGAGAGGGCGCTGCAAGTGTTTTATGATTGACTTAGGAGGTTACAGAGTTGTCTGTCCCCTTTCCATGAAGTTCAGTAGGATATGGCTTGGGTCAGGGACCACCCAGGGAACTTGACTGCTGTCCACGTAGTCACTGGCTGCTAGTGGCATGTTCACCCTTGTGCCTTGTCTGCTGCTGACCCTTCTTCACCTGTACCATGGCCATGAAGTGAACAGGAGAAAGGGAGACACTGTGTAGACAGGGTTGATGTGGAGGTCTGGGAAGGGAGCAATCACACTGGGTTTGTTAAAGGGCCCCGCTGGGGTCCCAGCCTTTCTGTGACACTCCACATGCCTCACTCTCCTGACACCATCTCTCCATCTTGTTAGGTATTACAACTGGACAACAGCAGCTCCTCTGCTGTTGGCGATGCAGGCCTTCCAGAAACCTTTGCCAAAGGTGAGCGCTAATGCGATTAAGAAAAGGGGCCCAGTTGGGACAGGTTAATGGGAGCATCACTGCTCACAGTTTGATCTCTTCTAAACTGGGTCTTGGCAGAGCCATAAGATGGTCATGGATGGTACAGTCCAAGTGGGTTTTGTCCCTGGATCTGAGTCCACCTCCCCTGAAAGGCTCCCTGAACATGTGGCAGCCTGCTTCTGGACCACAGTTTGGAGGGAGGCAGGTGGTCCACTTCCAGGATCCAAAACAGTTGAGAATCACCTCAGGATCGCCCTGGTGTCCCATGTTAGGTGGCCTTCTTCTTGGTGCTGGTGTTGGTTGTTCCGTTTATCTATAAATTTAGGCTAATTTCTTCCACTGAACTTAAGATTTTCTGTTTCAGGGATGGGTTTGCTCATGAGCCAACATGAGCTTTTTTAGATTGATGTAGATTTAACACCCTTGCAGGACTGGCGCCTACTTACCCTGATCCCGTCAGAGGGTTTTCTGTGCTGTTTTTGTTTGTTGATTCTTTAAAAGAACTTTAGACTCCATCTGGGGCTTATTATCTGTAGATGAATTTGGTGGGGGAGGAGGAGGAGAAGAGTAGACAATTGATTTGTGGATTGTGCTGTCCCTGAACATCGTATATATGGTTTGCCTTTTAGTGGGCTCGGTTTGTCTTCTTTGTTAGTTGAGTATCTTTTAAATATTAATTGCGTACTTGAGGCTAAACCTGTGAATCATTTGTCTATCTACTTGTTCCTGTTAGGTTGAGAGACTAAGTCATTCTTCACTAGCTGAGGTAATAGCTACTTATAATCAATCAGTCTAAATGGAGGTTGGAAAATCAGATAACAGTTGCCTGGGCCCCAAATAGGCTTAAGACAGATGTTGTTCTTTGGAAATGTCTATAAAAGTATTATTTCATATTTAATCTTCCCCATCAAACTTTGATTATTCAAGGCATCCATATGAATTTTATTTTTAACCCTTGATTTTTTTAAATCAGCCTGCTAAAGTTTAGTTGGTTAAGCTTTGAAAACTTATATTGACTAAGAAAGAAAGCCATGTATTTTGACTTTTGCTTACAGCTGTTGGATCCTGTACCATAGCCATCATTTTTTTCTTTTCCTGTTTCATTTTGTAATCATATTGAGGCTAATAGCATCATAAACAGCCATTTTAATTTGAAAACTTAAGATCTACTAACCACTAATGATTTCTAATGCTTTCTTTTCCTGTTGTTGTTGTGTTGTATTTTGTTTGTTGTTCGTTGGTTCTTTTCCCATCTTCTTAAGTCTTCCTGCCTCAGTTACCTTCACGTGATTTTGGACGCCATTAGGTTTTGCCTTTCTAAAATTTTCAGTCCACCCACAGTATGTTGCGTTACGCTTTTATTTATATTTTACTTTTCCCGTCTCCTCCTTTGATTTGCAAGTACATTTTCTTTTGTATCGAGTGTGCTAAGTTGATCCCCCCCCCTTTTTTTTTTGGTTCCATTATTTATGTTACCATCCATTTAAAACAGGCCACTGTGGAATCCATCATGAGAGATAAGATGCCCAAAAAGGGAGGAAGATGGTGGTTTTCCTGGAGGGGAAGAAATGCCACAATCAAAGAGGTAAGCAGGGAGCGGGGCGTGGCAGTTGCACTGAGTGTGCTTTGGTTTTGTGTAGTCAGGTTTGCTTGTGTAAGTGAAATAAACACTGTAATACTGGGTTTCGGTAAGCTGGCCCTACAGAAAGGGGATGGGGGCAGAAGGTGGCCAAGAAGGAGGAGGGGCCAGCAGAGCCTGGCTCTGCCACCCTCTGGCTTGTAGACCCTGGTTGGTTGTCAAGCTGTTTTCCCACTCTGAGGTTCCTGTATCAGTAAAAAGATGTACTAGGTACAAGTCTTGTTGCTGGCACAGAGCACCTGACAGCTTCAGGGAGGCAGAGACGTGGCTCACAGTTAGAGAACATGGTGGCCAATGATGGGAAACATGTGAAGGCAGGGGAGTGTGAACCAGCCCATCATAGTCTGTCCACAGAAGGCAGAGGGGTAAAGACTCAGCTGACTTTCTCCCCTGTAGTCATCCAGGGCCACAGCTGCTGTCCCCCCATGGCACTGCCCACATTTAGGGTGGGTCTTGCTGATTAAAGAACCTGACCCAGATCTTGTTGACAATATTATCCATCACAGAAGGGTTTCAACATAGCTTACATTTTAAAACACTTTATGTTGATGAGGACAACTCAGTGAGTCTCCCATGGCTGTTGACTAAGCCTCTTTAGCCACATGTCTAAAGGCTCAGGTCTCAGACACGAGAATTTGTGTGCCATCTTCAAAAGCCCCTGATTTGTTGGGCCTCATTCCACCTCTCAGCCCCTGTCCTGAGCTCTTTCCCTGCTTGGCCTCCAGTTCAGCGCCCTCCAGGCTTTTCTCAAACTGTCTCCTAATGGTTCCTCCCCTGGACAGTCCCTCAGCGGCTCTTAGGTCCCTCTTTTCAACTTTGACCTCTTGGTTCTCCCTGATTACCTACTCCATTCCAAACCAGACAAATCAGATGTTCGTTTGCACTCCACACCTGTTTATCACTCAGCCAGAGAAACAGAAGCTTCAAGGCATGAAGCAGTGTATAGGGAAGGGCTCCACTGTCCCCCTATGGCTGGACGTGGCCCTTATTCAGACTCCCTCCATGGAGACCTTCGAGGCTGCGGATTAAGTGTTGTTCCAGGTTTAATGTTTCCTCTTAGCTCCTCTCCCCCCCAATCAAGATCATCTTCCCCTCTCCCAGGTTGCCTTCAGGCTGTGTATGGAGTCCGTTGTCGCCCTCTTTCTCGTTCTCTTTATTGTAGTTGGACTGGCCTGTTTAAGTTGGATCTTAATTTATGTTGCCCCTTGCTTAAAACATTTTTAGTTATTGGTGTGTGTGTGTGTGTGTGTGTGTGTGTGTGTGTGTGTGTGTGTGTGTGTGTGTGTGTGCTGGCCTCAGCATGTTGACCAGGAGGTCAGAGGTTGACTTGTAGGATTCTATTATTCCACCATCACTTTGTTTGATTAGGGAGATCAAAGTGAGATTACCAGGCTCACTTACTCCCTTGAGACCATGTCCCCCACTGAATCTGGAACTAGGCTGGCAATTAGCAAGTTCCAGAGAGCCTCCTGCCTCCCCTGCCACAGTTCTGGAGTTATGGGCATGCATAGTTGTGGCCGGCTTCTACCTGGGTTCTGAGAGCTGACTTGGATCCTCATGCTTGTGAAACAAGAGCTCGTCCCACTGAGCCTTGTCTTCAGTCCCTGCTCAACCTCTTTAGCGGCTTTCCAGGGTTCCCACAGTGATGACTGAGGTCTTTAGCATCCTACAGTGCTTTGTGTGTTCTAGCTCTGACCTCCCTTGATAGTCCTGTCTTCTCTTTTTCTACACTTTAGCATAATTGATTAAAGCTGAATCTACCCAGGGCCTTTGCACATGCTCTTTCCGAAGTCTAGTGCTGCCAGGATTGCTTTGATCCCCCTTCACTTAATTAACCAGCAGTTCAACTCCTCCTTTTATGCCAGATCAACCTAGTCTGCTATCGTGCTCGCAAGGGCAATGACCGTTTCCTCATGCATTTTTTTGTCAGGATTTACAATTGTACACTCATTAGTGAGACTGTTTGGCTAACATTTCCCATCTCCTCCACTTCCTAAGCTCCATGAAGATAGAAACCACTTACAGCTCTGTTTGCTGTGGAGCTGGTGTAGGGATTCGGTACATATTTATTGAACAGTTGCTTCTGGAGGCAGTATGAAAAGGCTATGTAGATAGCCTTCCAGAAGCATCACTGGTCTCATCTGAGTCTGTGAGGTCAAAGGGAGAAGGTGCCTTGAAGTGCTGTGCGCAGATCAAATTGTTCTTTGACATGCTGCTAATGCATTTGCGTATCGCCACCTGCTACATTATCTTCAAGGGTCTTAGCGAGTCAGGATGAACATGGATGCTATCCTGCAGTAGACGTACAACACAAGGGGCTTTCTGGTGTATTTACCAGAGGGCTACTCAGTGGTAGTCCGCTGGTTTATCCTTCCCTCCCTCCCTCCCTTCCTCCCTCCTTTCCCTTTCCCTCCCTCCCTCCTTTCCCTTTCCTTCCCTCCCTTCCCTCCCTCCCTCCCTCCCTCCCAATCCTCTTGTTCTAACCAGCTATTTCTGTCTTTCTGGATTTACCTGCTTCTGATGTTGTGTAGAGATGAGGCCCTGTAACACATGCCCTCTGTATTTGGCATCTTCATCCACCACAGTGGCTTTGAAGGTCATCTGTGTGGTTGGTAACAGTTGTAGCACTTCATTGTTTTATAAGCCACTTTCTGGTTTATGGATCAGTAGCCAGTGTTATCAGCACCCTCATTCCTGTTTGAGAGGTGAACAGTCAGCAGGCTTGTCGTAGGCTTCCCAAGTGAGAGAGAGAGAGCGAGCGAGCAGTAGACCTAGGCTCAGGGTTCTCTTAGACACACCAGGCTCTCTCTAAGATATCCCAGAAGTATTTCCTGTTGGGATTATGTAGCATTGGAAGAGAGAAATGCTTTCTCATTTTCCCTGAGAAAAATATGGTGTGCAAATATTTTCGAACATTTCTATTGGCAATTAGAAGAAAATATTGTGGAAACCCTCAGGAATCCAGGCAGCCCCTGTTAACGCACGTGCCTCTGTGACAGTGATGATGGCATTTGGTCGGGTGCCAGGAACACTTAGGGATAACTAACAGACTCATTTCTGTCAAAAATGCTTCTCAGCTTAATCTTATGATATTTCTAGGCAAGGAAGTAATGGGGACCTGCCAAAACAGACACCCTCCAGAGCCTCCTGGGTGGAGGTCCCCATCCAGGGTGTGTGCCTTTGCTGCCTTGCTCTGGGCCTCGGGGAGCCCCATGGTGGGATCCAAGCTTTTGGGAAACAACCTTCCTCCTTCTCTGATGGCTTTTTTTCCTTTCCCCTAGGAGAGCAAACCTGAGCAGTGCCTGCCAGGGAAGGGCCACAATACGGGAGAGCAGCCTGCACAGCTTGGCCTGGCCACCAGGTATGGGAGCTGGGTGGCCCTCTAACAATGATGCCACCCCTTTCTTGGGCAGAATTAGGGTCATGTGCATGCCCACCAGACACTGACAAGGTCAGCCAGTGGCTCACGTCTCGGTTCCCACTGGCTCTGGAGTCACTAGGTGACCAAGACCAGGAGCAGTTTATTGAGATGGTCTTTCTCGTTTCTCCTGTATATGCAGCTTCTCTCTCAGACAGTTGAGGTTCAAGGTAAAAATGAATCTCCATGGTCCTGGCAAGTGGTGTCTGTCTGTCTGTCTGTTTGCGTGGGGGTGTGCTCATAAACAACTGTACTTGTCTGGGAGTGCATGTGTGGAGGTCAGAGGTCAACACTGGACTCTTCCTGAGCTGAGGAGAGCTTCTCTGTTTTCTGGCTCAGGTTTCATGTCCCCTGGCTCCTAGCCACAGCTCTGCACTTTAAAGGATGTCTTCAGAGACAGTGTCTCTCACTGTTTTCTGCTAGACTGCCTGGCCATAGAGACCTTGGGATCCACCTGTCTCGACAACCCACACCCTCAGCAATCAGATTACAGATGTGAGCTGCTGCACCTGGTTTTTAAGTGGGTGCTGGAGACCCCCACTCAGCTCCTCATGCTTGTATAGCAAGCCCTTTACCCACTGAGCCATCTTCTGGTTAGCTTTTGACACCGGAGTCAGCATTAGTTGGTCTGTCTTCAGGTCAGTCTCTATATGAACTTGAGGGTGCCTTGACTCTGTGGGTGATGTCATTGGTCCATGATGCTGATGCTGGAACCGAGACTGACATGGGACAGTCTGTGCCAGTATCACACAGACAATGCCAGTTCTTCACCTTTACAGTCTTCCTGTTGCTATATAGAACCTGAGAATGCATTTCTCACTCAGCAGATAGAACACGTGGACAGAGCCACTGTGGGTCCCATCCACATCTTCATCATATTAGTGCCTTGGAGGCCAAAGCCAGGCAAGTTACAGTTGGGGCACGTTGAGAACATTGAATTCTACCTGACCTGATGAGGGATTCATATCCTTCGGATCCTGGCCACAGCTCTGAACCTTAGACTATAATATTTCTAGAATTTTCTGTTGGAAGTAGAAACATATACCGTTGGTAAGAGAGATCTGCTTTGTAGAAGACTGACTGGGGGTGGGGTGGGAAAGAAATGAAGTATGGGAAATACAACAGTTCTGTACAGATGGACTGTTTCTCAACTGGGATGTTCTTGAAGCAGGAGGCTTCCCTTTTTTTTGCTGCTGGTGCCCAGTTGGAAGCTCTTTTACCTGGCTTTGCTGTTCTGTGCTCTCCTGTGCCTGGAGTGGGTGAGATGCCCAGCAGTGTGAGCCTCAACACTATTTTCCTGACCTTCTGGTCAAGAATTCTGTCTCTTTGTAGTGGTGGAGCAGGGGTGGTGTCTCTGTGGTCCTTGACTCATTAAGACACCTCTGCATCACCATTTATGAAGCAGGATGACAGACACCCTGGCATCTTCTTTCCCCTTCCACCACGATGAATATTCACAATAACCCTGAGACTAGGTGATCAGAATGCACAAGCCCCCAGGCCAGACCGAAGCCACCTGAAGGACATATGAGCATCTGGACATTTTAAACTATTTTAAGATAGTGACAGGGGCCAAGTGCTAGGTGTCTTCTAAACCTATAGCCCAGGCCTAGACCTGGAAGAGATGGTGCCCCGAGGCCCAGTGAGCTGTTACAAAGCATGGGCTGTGACACCTTGACAATGGGGCAGGACACCGAGGACATGGTACCTGTCGTTCTTATTGTTACTTTCCTTTTTTCTATTTCTGGCTGTGTAGGAACTCAGGGACATAGGGGTGGGCTGAGGGTGGAGGGACAGCAGGACACTAAGGAGCCCTCCTGGGCCAAGCACAGCTCTGGGAGTTTATATGTGCTCTGACAGGTGTCCTTCCCGTCTGTACTGTGTAGTGCCTCTCCTCTTACAGAAAGGCAGCCCCTACCCTGCCCTGTCCTAAATTACATTTATCAAACCTGGAAAGCTGTAAATTGGCTTATGTGTGATGGCATTTGAGACTCAAACATGTAGAAGTTCTCTTGAGGAATGGAAATCTCTTCATTTGTGGCAGCATCCTTGACTTCGTCTTACAGAGTCACCTAGATGCCCCCCCCAAAAAAAATTGGTATCAGCATGTTTTCCTAATTGACAGACTTGATTGACAGATTAGTCCCCAAAGTCCCATAATTGAGCAAACAACTTGTCACCATACAAATAATTAAAATGCCATTTGAAAAATGTGCACTGTGACAAGCGCTAGCTTAAATGCTCACAGTTCCTCATTGCAACACAGATTTTCAAATGACTTGGGGCCCTTTTGTTGCTGTTTGCAGCCACTATGGAGCAAGCGGCATCTAATGATCCACTGCAAGAGTGGTATGGGGGCTCTGCCTAGGAGCATCCTTGTTCCATTCAGGGTGGTGAGGTTTGTAAGGTGGCAGCCTCTAATGGCTGTCCATGTGCCCTTCGGAGAGCTGCCAGCAGCCAACTGCACAACTCCCATTTTCGTTTTTGAGTCTGTGTTTCCCTTCCCATGTTCCTTCAACATGGCATACCGAATGAATTCAGTGGGCCGTTCTCCTCCTAAGCGGCAGATGGAAATCACAGCTATTCTCACTTGCTCGCACATCCCCTCTGGCAGAGGCGCACACCAATCTGTTGTTACTAAGAGCCGTGGGTACGTTCGGATCTCATTTTTCTCTAGACTGCTTGGAGCAGGAAGGGCTTTTCTTCAGCGAGGGGCCTCCAGCCGCATCCCACTTGATGAGAGGGCCTTTGTCTGGAGCACTGGTCACGTGGCTCAGGCTCCAGGCCTGGGTTTGCCCCATCTAGAAACCTCTAGGATGCTGGTTCAGAAGGATGAGTGCTCCTGTGGGGTCTGCAAATACTGGAGCAGGAAGGGACTTTGGTTAAGCATTATGGGAGAGCTGACTGAGGTGCAGAGAGGAGTCCTCTGCTGTCAGTCGGCATGGGACTAAGATGTCTGTCTCATTCTCCCCACAGTTTGTCACCACAACCTGAGCTTTGGTGGGTGACAGTGTGTCTGCAACTCGGAAGGAAGGAAGCAGGCTGAAAGGCAGGAATAATTAATTCATCGTAACTAGTGCAGTCTGCATTTCCTTGAGCTGGCAACTTTGGGTTTTCAGATCATGGCTGCTGTCTACACGCCGACTCACACAGAGCTCAGGTCTGCCTCAGATAACCAGAATTCCAGTCTGTGCATATCCTGTCTCCTTTGACATGGTCACTGATCCCAGAACTTATTCACAAGCTTTGTGATTGCCAAGAGCGCTCCTCCAGCCCTGGTGGCTGTGCTGTGACTGACTTTTTTTTAGGCAAAACCCGAAGAGAGCAGGGATGACTGGGCTATATTGTCTCCTTTTTTCAATATCTGGATCCACACAGAGCCAGGTCTCAACACAGAAATGGGGGTGCTGTGTAAGTGTTCCCCATGATGACTTCTCAGTCCCAGTCAGTGTCAGGGTATGCAAATCATTCTTGAATGAGTACCCATGGTGGGAAGGCTTGTATGGGATGCTATCTGGGTGACCATAAGGCAGGACAGAGGAAATGGAAGCAGGATCAGGCTGAGAGGATGTTGGAAGGAGAAGGGAGCACTCCCTGAGGTAAGGAAGATGGAGATCTGTGTTGTCTTTATAAAGGGATGTGAAAGTTGGTTGATTTATTTATTTTTGTCAACTTGATACAAACTTAGGCATGTTTGGGAAGAGGGAATCTTAAAACTGAGAAAATGCCTCCATAAGATTGTTCTATAGGCAAGCCTGTAAGGTATTGCCTCATTTAATGATTGATGTGGCAGTGCCATATATTCCTGGGCAGGTGGCCCTGGGTTGTTGCACAAGAAAGTAGGCTGAAGAATAAGCCCAGAGGGGCAGGCCAGTAAGCAGCATTACTCTAAGAGCTCTGCTTCAGCTTCTGGCTCCAGTTTCCTGCCTTGAGTTCCTGCCCTGACTTCCATCAGTGATGAGTGTGACCAAACAGTGATAACTGAAATAAACCCTTTCCTCCTGAAGTTGCTTTTGGTCCTGGTGTTTTATCACAGCAACAGAAAGACCATCAGAGGAGTGCCTGCTTTGGGGGCACTTGGCCTTTTCCATTCAGTCCAAGCCCGTTATTAAGTACTTTGCGGGGTGCTAAGACTTGGGGAAGTAGAATGAACATTATTAGGTTGGAGGATGAAGCCACAGAATTGAGCTCAGGGAACAACTAATTTACTGACTCGCTTTCTGTGAGGTACTTAGAGACTGTGGGCCTGAGTCTTAGCTTGCCTCCCAGCCCCTGCCTATAGGAGCCACTAGAAGAACTGGAACATTGGTCTGTGCATACTGTGGGCAAGAGGTAGTGTCCTCTTGGCTCATAGTGACTTCCAGGAGTCTTGGGGGCGGCAAATGTTAGGCCCAGGGAGTATCCTAATTGTTTGGAATTGGCTCTGTGGAATTGATGAAACTGGATCGGAGACAACTGGTGTTGTTTGGACTGTAGACATTTGGACTCATAGGGCTTGGCCCACAGCCTCCAGTGGAAAGAGAAAAGAGGCAGATGAGTGTGTGTGTCTGTCTTTCTGGGCCAGAATGGGTGTAGCCCTACTCATCAGGAGTTGAATCATACTAGTTAAAAGTGAGTGATGAGAGTTGGTAAATGGGGGAGTGAATGAGGAGAGGCAGTCCCTCCCCCTCATCAGTGAAGCCATGTATGAATGGGGACATAGGAGAGTTCATTGATAAATCTAAAGCCATATGGCAAATGACCACCCAGGAGACCTGATTGACGGAGTCATTGATTCCGTCCTAATGCATTTTTAATGGTTGCCCAGATGCGTTTCCTAATCACATCACCATGTGTTCCAGAATAAAGCATGAGTCATCCTCCAGTGATGAAGAACACGCATCTGCCAAGCCGTCGAGCTCAAGCCACATCTCTCTCTTGTCGAATGTCAGCTACAAAAAGACCCTGCGGCTCACGTCAGAGCAGTTGGTGAGTCCCATGCTTTCAGTACAGCTGCATTTTTAGTCCTCAGGTTGTGACCAGATAGAGCTGTGGGGCTTTCTTGAAGTTCTGAGGGTTCCTTCTACTATTTTGCTCACTTAGACCTTCCTCTAGGGCCTTTCTTATGCCAGCATGCCTTTTGATGACCTCACACCCTCACCTCGGTACCCTGTGTTTCCAAACTGACCTTGTATCTGTTAGGATGGACCTGCTACATGACTTTTGCACTCTTGAGTTGCTTTTTTTCTGACCTAGGAGGAGGAGGCGGCTTTGCCTGAGCCCGTTTATCCTCATTATCAGTGGTCAAGAGTCTTTGGAATGTCTCTCCTGAGTGTTTTTGATTTGAGAGAGATGCTTGTTAACTCAAAAGCATCTATAAAATTGGTGGAGATCAAGCAGGTGTGATGGGGTTTAGAGTATTTTAGGAAAAAAAGGAGCCCACTTCCTCTGTGTGTGTGTGTGTGTGTGTGTGTGTGTGTGTGTGTGTGGTTTTAATGAGGCCTTTCCAACCCCAGACTTACTTGAAATCAAGGTCATCAGTGTAGGTATCTCTGCTTTTCTATAAATAAAGCCTTGTGTATCTATTGTAAGAACTTATGGGGAGCAGGTTTTGATAGGATGGTATTTAATGGGAAAAGATAACCCCAAGTTAGCCACTTATAGGGCCCTGGGGGACACTTCAAGTCAATCTTGTGGGTCTGTGCAGCTTAGCTGCTGTGTCTTGGAATATACCAGCAAAGAGTGAAGACTGACCAAGTTTTGTTTTCTGAATTTGGAATGATGTGTTTGGGCCTGTTCTATGTTTTTATGGACTCAAGGCCTCTTTTTCCATTCTGTGTCATTATAAAATGGATAAAAACAATACTGAGGGAAACATTTTTGTCTGACTTACATTTGTGTTCTCACTCCAAGACCCTTCACATTTCCTGTGTATTGGTGTGACTTGGGGGAAGCCTGGTAGCCAGTCACTTAACTCCATGTACACACTCTCTTAAGCTTTGGATCAAGTTAGCATTGCTTTTAGAAGAAGATTGCTTTGTAAAGAGTGGTGACTGTTTCACCAGTGGGGCCAAACCGAGTCTGACTTAGGTTGCCCGTCCAGCCCTGGAAAGAGCTAGATTGAGAAACAGAAGTGAAAACTTCACAGTAGCCCGGGGAAATGGTTTGATTTTAAAGCCTACAGAGACCAAACAACCCCTGAATCTGGACCCCCTTGTCAAGCACACAAATGGTTCATGTTTTTTCAGAAAAGCTTGAAATTGAAGAATGGCCCCAATGATGTGGTTTTTAGTGTCACTACACAGTACCAGGGCACCTGTCGTTGTGAAGGCACCATCTACCTGTGGAACTGGGATGATAAAGTCATTATCTCAGATATCGATGGGACCATCACGAGGTGGGTCTGACTGCAGGGTGGTCTGAGCTGGCTTCCATCTTAACTCTGGGTAGCATATGGGAACTGGAGCACAGTTTCTGGTGTATTTGGAACTATGCAGATAGGGGAAGCTCCTTGACTTGTTTTTGTTTGGGTACTATCTCTCCAGCCTGGTGATTTTTGGAGAATGCTGTTCTGGAATAGTTAGTAGCCCCTCACTTGGGTTTGGCAAACCGTCATCATGGTGACTCACCACAGCTCCCCTTAGTGTCCTCACTTGATTCTGTGAGCTGGGGCTTTATATTGAGAAGGCCATGGATCTTACTCATACTATTATTTCTTTTAGTTTTATTTTTTCCACACATTTTTGTGGGTGTACATGCATGCACATGAGTGTGGACCTCAAGGGTTAACCTGGGTGCAGTCTGTTCTCTCCTTCTGCCATGTGGGTGCCTGGGATCAAACTCGAGCCATCAGGCCTGGCACCGATCACCTTTACCCTCTGAGCTATCTTGCCAACTCTTACTGATAGTATTTTTATGGGTCTTGAACAGTATATCTAAGCCAACTGGACATTTTTCTGTTCTCCTCTTATAGTAACTTTTGGCTTATGTATGTATTTCTCATCTTTATCTAGATCGGATACCCTTGGTCATATTTTGCCCACGCTGGGAAAGGATTGGACCCACCAGGGCATTGCAAAGCTGTACCATAAAGTAAGCCAGTAAGTATAGAGGGTCCGACTGCCGTCTAGTAACTGCCAGTTTGCGGCCCCACACTTTGTATACAGAATCTCTCCCTCTGAGCCTGGAGTAATTTACAAAGACATAGAATTTGCTTCCTTAGGGTGGTGAGTAAGATTGTCTTTCCACTGGGATTACAAATGAGGCCAGAATCCCTTCTCTCCACAACAGTGACCCTCAACTGAGGGTAGCTTTGGGGTTTCCCTTTACTCTCCCCTCTTTTGAATATACAGTAGTGCGTGCCTAGAGACTTAATTTTGAGACAGGGTAACTATCTAACCCAGACTGGCTTGGAACTCTCTGCTTTTGTCTCCCAAGCACAAGGATTTTGGGCATGAGAGACCGTGCTTTAAGGCTTTTTTGATTGTCATGATTACTGTGTGCTATGGGTACCTGGTGGGTGGAAGCTGGGGATGCTGTGTCTCACAGTGCATCACTGTAGGCGTCTTACAGCTACCTTCTCCAAGATAGCTGTGCTGAGAACCCCAGTCTAAAAGCTTATCTTGGAAAATTTGATGGTGGTAAACCATTCAATACTATTTAAGTTTGTCTGGGTTGTGGGCTTTGAAATTTTTTATTTTTTATTGTATGTGTGTGTGTGTGTGTGTGCATGTGTGTATATGTATGTGTGCGTATGTGTTTGCATGTGTGGGTGCATTTGTGTGTTTGTGTGTGTATGTGTGCATGTATGTGTGTGCATGCGTGTTTGTGTGTGTGCATATGTATGCATGTGTGTTTGTGTGCATATGTATGCATGTGTGTGTATGCATGTGTGTTTGTGTGTGTGCATATGTATGCATGTGTGTTTGTGTGTGTGCATATGTATGCATGTGTGTTTGTGTGTGCATATTTATGTATGTGTGTGTGTATGCATGTGTGTTTGTGTGTGTGTGTGTGCATATGTATGCATGTGTGTTTGTGTGTGTGCATATGTATGCATGTGTGTTTGTGTGTGTGCATATGTATGCATGTGTGTTTGTGTGTGTGTGCATGTGTGTTTGTGTGTGTGTGTGCATATGTATGCATGTGTTTGTGCATGTGTGTTTGTGTGTGTGTGTGCATATGTATGCATGTGTTTGTGCATGTGTGTTTGTGTGTGTGGCATGCCACAGATTGTGGAGGACAGACAGCTTTCAGAAGTTGGTTCTTACCCCCTACCTCACTGAGGCAAGGTCTCTCTCGTCTCTGCTACTGTTGTGTACTCCAGCTAGCTGGCCTGATTCTCCTGTCTATGCCTTCCATCTCACCATGGGAGTGCTGGACTGCAGATGGGTGCCAGAGCATCAGTCTCTATGGGTTCTGGGTGTATTGTAGGTAGTCAGGCTTCCACTGTTAGAGCCATTTCTCCACCCCCTGCATTGTTTAATAAAGCAGGCTGTAGAGATTGGGGCAGAATGAGAAACCTGGGCCCAGGATGCTTTTCCATGCTTTGCTCTAGTGTTTTCCAGACACCAAGAGCAGATGGCGTACTGTGCATCTTTCCCCATCTCCCTGTACCCCACGCTGCTGTGGCTGAGGAATGATAGGGAGAGCCTCAGACTATGCAGAGACATGGGCGGGACAGTCTTCTCAGTGGTGGATGAGTCTTATCACCCTACCCTACCCCCAGAAGTGTCCCTCCATTCTCATGCTTACCAAGGGTTCTGCAACCACTGCCCATCCAGTTATGGGAAGCATGGTGTGGTCTGGTATGCAGAAGAGGTGAATGGTGGCTTATCATAACAGAAAGCTACTCTAGCTCGGACTCAGAGAGCTTGTCTATGATGCAGTGAGAGGCGTTCAGGCTCATTGTCAACTGGAAATAACATTTTATAGAATATAGTGTTCACATGTGGGGCCTTGCAACCATGCCTTTCTTCATAGGGCAGATGGAGGTAAGGGTTTGGGATGCTGCAAAGTTCCAACCCACAATGCTATTCAAAGTGGATGTTTTATGTCTTTCAGGAACGGCTACAAGTTTCTCTACTGTTCTGCGCGTGCCATTGGGATGGCAGACATGACAAGAGGCTACCTGCACTGGGTCAATGAGAGGGGCACGGTGCTGCCACAGGGACCACTTCTGCTCAGCCCAAGCAGCCTCTTCTCTGCCCTGCACAGGTACTGCCCTGCTGTCCTATCCCCATGCCCTGCACAGGTACTGTCCTACCAGCCAACCCCCATATGCTGACCTGCTGGCCAGCCCTGTTCTCTCTTCCTCATTGCAAGTTTTGTAGAAAGAGTAGACTGTTGGACTGGAGAGGTGGCTCCATTGATAAATGCCCTTGCCTTGCAAGTGTGAAGAGAAATTTGAGCCATAGAACCTGCGTGTCTGTGTGTGTGTGTGTGTGTGTGTGTGTGTGTGTGTGTGTGCGTGTTAAATGCATTACTGATTCCTTGCACAATGTACCAAAATACAGTCTCTTTGAATGCATTAATAATAAACTCAAGTCACCAATAATGCACCAGTATCACACTAATGAAAGACTTCCCCTTGGTGTCACACTTCAGTGTGACACTTCCTCTTGGTGTCATCTAACCAAGAATGAGCCTAGATTTGAATTCTCTACTTTCTTCTCTATTTGTGCTCTGTCCTCTTGTCTGTCTATTGCATGTCTGAATCTGTCCTACCTGGTTTGTGAATCTGTCCCCATGTCTGTCCCTGTGTATATGTCTGTGTCTGTCCCTGTGTGTGTATGTGGAAGACACTTTACAGAAACAGAATTTCACAAGGTATTAAGTCACTGACTCCAACTGACCCTGACTGACCCAGATAACAAACACAATGGCTTACCAAACAGTATCCAAATGTCATCGTGCTCAACACTTATAGTGGATATTCAATTTATAAGATTGCTTCTAACCTCTGTTTTTGCTGTTTTCAGTAAATTATTATCACAACACACAAACATACATGTGCTACTTTGGGTCAGGAGCATGGAAGAGTCCCTAAATTAAGATTGCAGCTATCCATTAGCTTAGGTTGTAAAAACTGATCACATGGGAACTCCAAGGCAATTAAGGTTGATATTACATTGTTCTCTTAAAAGCAGGTCAAACAAACAGGCGAGCACACAGTAGGGTGGCAGTCTTGAGTCTTGTGACCTCATGATGTGTTATTAACTCTGACTGTGATGTCTGGCACAAGTTTCAGGCGCTTTAGATATAATGGGTGTGGTGGCAGAGACAGGTGTATCCCTGGACCTCACTGGCCAGTCAGCCTGCCTGTTTGGTGAATTCTAGACCAGTGAGAAAGCTTGTCTAAAAAACAGAAGAGGGGACAGCACCTGAGAAATGACACCGGAGACTGACCACTGGCCTCTGCACTTGTGCATGCATCCACACAGATGCATATGTGTGCACGCACGCACGCACGCACGCGCGCACACACACACACACACAGAGTCCTCTTAGCTGGTCTCTTCTGACGAGTATCCATGGTCCCAGTGCTGCTTGTATCCCATACTCAGTAGTGTCTAAGCTGTGTCGGGCCCGCTGCTCTGCCATGTGGCTTTCAGAACCAAGTTTCATTAAAGCATCCAAAGGTCTATTATGATTTGATTAAAAATGCAATGAAACTAGAGGCCAGTTTAGAGAGAATTAATAGCTCAATATAATATTGAATCATCCAATTCAAGAATCTGGGCTGTCTATTTTATTTAGTTTTTTCTTGCCCATTTCAGTGAGTTTTTATTATTTTTTAATAATTTATTTACTTTTTTATTTCATGGGCATTCATGTTTTTGCTTGCATGTATGTCTGTGTGAAGGTGTCATATCCTCTGAAACTGAAGTTACAGACAGTTACAAGCTGCCTTGTGGGTGCTGGGAATTGAACCCCCGTCCTCTGGAAGAGCAGCCAGTTTTCTTCTCCGATGAGTCATCTCTCCAGCCCTGAGTTTTTAGCATCAAGAAGGCACATTGTATCCTTTTGACCCCTAAATTCTTTCTAAGTTTTATAGCTTTTATTTACCTTTTCTTACTTTGTTCTCTGGCTAGCACCCAAAGCACAGCACCAAACCTCAATGTTACTGGAGACCATTGTTTTACTCCCCATAGGAGGTTTTCAGAAGGGCCTTCTGGAGGGGTCTCGCTTTGTAGCCCTGTCTTGACCTGGGACTCAGTCGGTAGATCACGCTAATTCCTGCATTTTTGGGCATCCCCATGCCTCTACCTCTCTAGTTCTGGGATTACATGTTGCCACCACAACCAGATTTTTTGTAGTAGTTTTTTTTTTTCCTCTTTCTATTTTTGATCTAAGAATTTTTATCCTGGGGCTAGAGAAATGGCTCAGCAATTAAGAAGAGCACTTCCTGTTCTTGCAGAGATTCAGAATTTGAGTCTCAGCACCCATACTGGATGGCTCACAGCCACCTGTAACTTTAGCCCCAGGGGATTGGACATCACCTATTTCTCTGTAGAGGCCACCCACACACACTTGGCACATGGACACACATACATACAAGTAACAATAAATTTTAAAAAAGAGTTTCACCCTAACTAGATGTCGAACAGTGTCCAGTGTCTTTGTATCGGAGGTGACCTCCTTTCTCTTATCTCATTATGTGTGACATATTGTTGCAGGGATCAGTTTGAAATGTCACATGACTCCTGACTTCCTGTAATGACCCTAGTCCTCTACACTGTCTCCCTTTCATTTGCAGATGTCCTTGGAACTTGGCCTGTGTGCTCACCAGTGAGCTTGGTGTGTGTGTGTGTGTGTATAAGTCAGAGGGCAGCATGCAGGGGTCACTTCCCTCCTTCTAACCTGCCTCATTGCCCACTATGCAGCTTCTGTGGCCCTCACACCACTTTAATGCAAATTTAAGTCCTCCTATGCTCACCAGTTATTTATTTATTTTAATAGAGAAGTGATTGAAAAGAAGCCAGAAAAGTTCAAAGTCCAGTGTTTGACAGATATCAAAAACCTGTTTTTCCCGAACGCAGAACCCTTCTACGCTGCTTTTGGGAACCGTCCTGCTGTAAGTACCTGAGGGGTCCATGGAGCCTCAGACTTTGCCCTTGGTGCTAGCAGTTTTCACAAGGGCTGTTCAAGGAGTATTTGTAAAGTGAATGTCCTTCTAAGGCAAAGAGGTTAAAGATCATGTCAGACGTGGCCTCTGGTCGTCTTTAAGTTTGAAGCTGGTGACCTGGACCACAAACTTGCAATTGTGCATTACTCATTAAATGAGTAAAACAGGGCTCTGAGGTACTGGGTCCTTCCCGAGAGATAGGCCCACCATGCTAGCCCTGCCTGATGGCAGTGTTGGGTCCAGTGCCTCCAGCCTGAAGCATGCAGTGAGATCTCCCTGGCTGAAGGAAATGAGTGGAGATGGTGTGTGTGACCCAAGCTTTTCGGAAGGTTCAGTTTGAAGCCTGCAGCAAAGACATCTAGGGTGACTGGAAGGTGTAGAGATGTTGTGTACTCGATCCACTCTTGCTAGAAGGTTCTGTATCCTGTAGAATGTAGCTGGGTATTCACTAGTCAACTGGAAAACTCTGCTTTTAAGATAAGATATGTGATAGATAGGTTTTTAATTGGGTAGGGTGGTAGGGGAGGACGGGAGGGAGAAGGGAACTGGGATTGTCATGTAAAACAATCCTGTTTCTAATTCAAATAAAAAAGTTGAAAAAAGAGAAAATTCTGCTTTTAAAATGTGCGGCAGATTATTATGCAATGAGAAAATGGGTTAGAAAACAAGCCTGAGGAATATCAGCCAGTGTGGCAGGGGATGGAGGAGGGTAGCTTAGTTCCTGAGGAGTTGGAAGAACTGAGGCTCAGGGAGGAAAGCTAGCTGAATGTGTCCTTGTTTCCCTGAGGTGCAGCGCCCATTCGTGAAAACTGGATAAGGTGACATTCAGTGAAAGGTGCTGTGTGCTTGTTTGTACAGTGAACTCCCCTCCCGCCCTACCTGACATGTCAAATCACCTTTTCTGTACACAGGATGTGTATTCCTATAAGCAAGTGGGAGTGTCACTGAACAGGATCTTCACTGTCAACCCCAAGGGAGAGCTGGTGCAGGAGCACGCCAAGACCAACATCAGCTCGTGAGTATATCAGCCTCCCAGGAACTGGATCCCCCTCCCTGTCCCAAAGCCAGCATCACCATCTATTGCAGCCACTTTTAGCTATTGCTACCTTTGTTTTCATCTGTGTGTGTGTGTGTGTGTGTGTGTGTGTGTGTGTGTGTGTACACGTGCATGTATGCAGTACACATACTTGTATGTGTTCATATCTGTGAGGTCAGAGGTCAATGTCATGCATCTTCCTCAATTACTCTCCCCTTAATTTTTGAGACAGCATTTCTCATTGAACTTGAGGCTTACCCATTGGGCTAGCCTGGCTGGCCCGCAAGCTGCAGGGAGTTTCCTGTGTCCAATGACCCAGCACTGGGGTTGCAGGCTTGTATGATACCTGACTTTTTATGTGGGCATTGAGAATCTCAACTCAAGTTCTCATTTCTTTAGGGAAGGCAATTTATTGCCAAGCCATCTTTCCAGCCCCTGTTGTAATCTTTAATTCTTCTAAAAATGGAGCTCAACTCCATGTCTTTAGTCTCCAGCTTAGTTTTGGGACAGTTCCCTCAGGGTGTAAAGCCCCAACTAGAGGCTACAGTCATCTGTGGAGTGGAGTTGAATGAGTTCAGAAACTAGACCTTCAATTGGCAGAGATAGACTGTCACTTACGGATGTAGCCCAGGTGCCATGGGAAGTCACACTTTGTTCTGCATGGTACTGGGGACGGAGCCCAGGGCCTTGGCCATGCTAGGGGAGCACTGCACTACAGAGCCCTTCCCTGTCCACAGCCTACTGCTGTTTGCTTTGTTTGAGACAGGATCTTGCCATGGAGTCCAGGTTGGCTTTGAACTTTGCATTCCTCCTTCATTCTTCCCAGTGCTGGGTTGTGCCACGACACCCATCTGGTTTGCTGTATTGAATGAGGCATTGTGGTACATGTAGTGTCACTCTTGCCTCTGCCTCGCCTCACATGGGTCTCTCATGTCAGCCCTACTGGGTACATCAGCCCAGGCAGACACTCTGCCTCTGCCTCCTCCACTGCAGAGGCTGCGTAGCTCCTCTTGTGATCTGTACCAAACTGGAAAATAGCTTCTGGCTTGAGTGATGGCAACACTGCCATAAACTGGAGAGTTGGATCTGGGGAGTTGGCTGTCAGAGTCCTCTTGATGTTTGCAAGCACCTCCCATGGTTTTTGAGCTGGTCATGGTCATGACTCACACCTGTAATCCCAGCACCCTGGGAAAGCAGAGGCAGGAGGATTGCCATTGGTTTGAGGCCAGCTGTAGGCTGCATAGCAAGTTTCAGGCCAGTCTGGATTTCCAGATGAGACCACCAGAGCAGTTTCTCACTTTGAAGATGGTCTTTTTTTTTTTGCAGCTGGACTAGGGTCCAGCTTGACTAGAGCAGTTCCAGATGTGAGGGAGCCCTGGCTTCCTGGCTTCATAGAGAGGGCAGGCCTGACAGCTCTGTAGGTGTGGGAAGAGAAGAAGATGGAGCCTGTGGCTTCCTATCCTGCAGCAGTCAGTTGGGATCCTTTCATCTGTGTGGTGTTGAGACAGGTGCTCTGAGGTGAATTCTCTGTCTTCAGGGAGCAGGTATACCAAAGCCCAGAACTTGGAATGATGTTTTTTTTTAATTATTAATTTGTGTGTGTTTATGTGTGTGCATGTTTGTGTGTATGCATTTTTGTGTGTGTGAATGCATGTTTGTGTGTACATATGTGTATTTGTCTGTGTGTGTGTGCGCGCGCGTGCACAAGCAAGTACATGCATGTGCCATAGTGTGCATGTGGAGGTCAGAGTGGAGGCTGTTTGCTCCTTCTGCCTTTATGTGGCTTCCAGGTTTTGAATTTAGGCTTCCAGATTTTTCAGACAAGCACTTCTTTTCCTGCTGAGCCATCTTGCAGGCCCCTGGGTATGACCATTTCTAGCCAAGCAGGTGCTTGTCTTGTCCCTTGGAGTCTGGGATGTTCTGTGGACTGTCGTTATGTAGTGAAGCCCCACTGGGTGGGGGACCGAGTTCAGGTCCCCCCTTTATAGTCAGGGAATGTCCTGTCCTTGCTCTAGGGAGCCCCATGCCTGGAGGGTGGAATGGGCCACCCAGATGGAGCAGGCACTGCTGCCAGGGCATGTGAGCCTTGCCAGCTTGGTTCTGGTGGCTTCCACCGCCTGGCAGGGGACAGCTCTCTCCTCCCACCTCCCATAGCCACAAACCTCAGGCTAATAGGCCTTCAAGTCAGGAGGTATTTAAAAAATTTGTTTGTTTGTTTTAATCCCCAGGAAAGACATAATTCTTAGCGTATTGCTGAGAGAGGTTTCCCTGCTCTGTGCAAGTACACTGTTTCTCACGAGTCCGTTGGAGGCCCTTTATTAAACACACACGCAGCCTTATTGAATAAGTCATTTCATGCCTCAGAACATGCTAATTCCTGGAGTTTGGATTTTGAAAGCCCCTTTTGGTTCTCGGCACAAGGGTGTGGAGAGGGGCCCAGGGCCTGTCACACAGGAGTCTAGGCTATGTGGGAGAGAGTTGTGCTTGTCCAAAGCCCTGTGTGGAGGAGCCTGGAGGTCTTCCAGGTCAATTCATGTAGCTGCCTTCTTTCTGTAGTGCAGGCTGTGGCTAGGCAACATCTTCCTGGCGATGGAGGAAAAGCCCTGAGGTAGGGAGTGCTAGAAACTCCTGTGTGGTCCAGCCCCACATACTGTGAGGATGAAGGGGTTGAAGCTCAGGGAGGACAAGACGCTTGCCCAGAGTCACAGAGTACGTAAGGCTAGAGGAGGCCTCAAGCTTGCTGACCTGTGGCCTGGGACGTTTTCCTGTGCAGGTGATCTGCCACTGAATGATGAGTTTCCAGTACAGGATACTCAATCATTGCCCACGCGATTCTGTTTCTGATGCTAAGCAAGTGGCAGTTTTCATTTTCCTTCCTTTACGGTAGTAGAGGGAGTCAGGTTGTAAAAAGGCAAATGCCTTTGCCTGAGATCACACAGCTGGCACTGGGCAGGATTCATGCCAAATCTGTGTTTTGATAAGCCCATGGCCCTGTATCTTTTCACTGTGAATGTGGTAGTCTCAGCGCTCTATAGATGTGCATTGTTTATGGTTCCTCTCCTAACACCCCACTTGCGGCCACCATGGCAGGTACTCCAATTATGGCTACCATAGCAGGCACCCCACATGTGGTCTCATGGCAGGCCAATACCCCTGATGGTGCTGGTCTCCCTCTGTCCATCCCTGGTACCTCTCTGCTCCTATTATCTGCTCTTCATGCATAGTCAGGTTGTCTGCTCTTGGGAGCTTTCTCATGTTTGCCTATTCTGTCTCCCCTCTCACTTCCACTTAATTCATGAGGCTAGAATGGCTCCAGTGAAGCAGGGTAGATGGCTGCTTACAGGGGTCAGGATAGTATATTCCTCCCCAGCCCTTCGTGTGTCTGGGTGTGGCTCCGTGGGTAATGAACCAACTGTCCTTTTTACCTGGCAGGTATGTGAGGCTCTGTGAAGTGGTTGACCATGTCTTCCCATTGCTGAAGAGAAGCCATTCCTCCGACTTCCCCTGTTCAGACACTTTCAGTAACTTCACCTTTTGGAGAGAGCCACTGCCACCCTTTGAAAACCAGGACGTACATTCAGCCTCAGCTTGATACGACCAAGCATTAAAGGATAGGTTGTGGGAACCCTGGAGCTGCTGGGAAGGCTGATGTGTGGCCATCTGCCTAGGAGAGAAGCATTTCTCCCTGGACCCACCCACCCTGGGGTGACTTTCTCAGCATGGAGGTCGGATGGAGGCTGCATCTCATCCCATAGGCTGCGTGAGGATTGGGTGTACTAGTAGTGTGCGAAGCAGTCCTCCGTCTGGTTTAGCATACACAGTGCTGCTCTCTTCAGCCCATGCCAGAAATTAGTGTGCAGTGTGGGTGGTGACCCCTTACAGAAGTGGGCCAGCCATCTGAGAGCTGTCTCAGTGTCAGTGCGCCCTCACCCCCAGGAACTCTGATGGGCAGTTTTTGGTAGCCTAAGAGGCACATTTCCATGACAGTGACATCCTTGCTGCCTCCACACATAGGGATGGGCTCTTTTCCGAGTCTGAGTGGTCTGAAGGGAACCTGGGCCTCGCTAGGTCCCAGCCCTCAGGCTTTGACTTTATAGATGGTCCCTTGCGGTATCACTGACTTGGTCTCACTGTAGGTGTTATATGTTCTCTAATTGCTCTGGTTAAAGATGGCCTGTGTCACTGGTGCATCTCTCCCTATTATCCCTCATAGCTCAAGGCTGGGCTGTTTATGCCTTAACACACCTGCAGCAGGCATTTGCTTCGAGTGCACTGTTTAGTTCTCCATAACTGTGATGCCTTACGTTAAAATGATAGTCCCTGAGGCAGCATCTGCACAGCATCTCATGTCTGCATCCCACCAGCCATCAGCCAGGAAGCACCACTAATGAGGACTAGAGCAGCACCTAGGCCAGACGAGAATGATGCCCCTGAAGAAACTGGTTGGCTTAAGAAATGTAGTCTCCAGAAGTTAAATTATTTTCTTTGCAGATATTATTTATTACTTTGATCTCACCAGGCTGCTGTTGTGCTCATCCTAGCCACGTCCTTAGGATTGCAGCTGTTATGAGTACATTAAAAGTTAAGTGTGCTAGACAATCCAAAGAGCCTTATTCTGTCTATGTCACACAATGTTCTTCTGGAATTCTGAACCATTAATTTTCCTTAGCTTTTTCCATTCAGTCTAAGGGCAAGAAAAAAAAATAGGAATTTGAGTGATGTTCTTTAAGTTGATAGAGGGTAGTTGTTGAACTGTCTCAGAAAAATGTGAAAAAAAAAGGAAAGAAGTATTTTGGTAAAAGATTTTTGCTTTACTTTTGGAAGTTTTATATTTTTAAAGAGTGCTTTTCTCCTGAAAGATCTTCCTATTTAAATTTCATTGTTTGAGTCAGAAGAAAAAAAGAGTCAAGAGACAAAAGGAAAAAAAAGAAAGAAAAATGAAAAAGGAAAAAAAAGAAAGAGGGTGGAAAAAAATGGACTGTTACTCTTTCCGTGAAAGAAAACCTAGAGTCACTACTGCTGTTGCAGTTGTTGGGTTCTGTTACGGTTGGATGTGGTTCTCACAAGTCATAGGAATGGACAAGGAAAGCACACCTGCTGTGGATCACAGACGGGTGGAGGAACATGGGCTTGAGTGTGCAGGTTCCCTTCTGGGAGCGAAGGAAGTAAGTAAGCATAGTCCTGCCACAGTGAGCTCATGGCTTGTCCTCTGGTGACCTTCAGAGGCCAAGTTAGTCCTGCCACTGGGGTGTTTTGAGTGCATTTGGATTGCTGTGGATTGAGAGGAACTCATTGGTCCGCAGAGGCTCGAAGGCCTCTCCTCATGCCTGGGAGAAACTTGGAATCTCCCTTCACCTGCCCTCTGCAGAGTCCTCTGTTTTCTGAGAGCTTACAATGGCTGGAGTCAGGATCTATTTATATAACCAATGCTGGTCTGCAACACATGGTCTCAAACACACAGCAATCCTCCCTCCTGCCTCCATGGCCACCACACTTGGCTTGGGAATCTAGTTTTGAAGTACCTTAAACCTCCACCATGAATCAGAGTACACCTTTCACAAAACCACACTCTAAGAACTCTGAAATTCTTCTTGAGCACTGTCCGGGTAGTGGTGTGAATGAACACCTTCAGGGAGGCTCCCATATGCGAGCCGAATGTGAGCTGCGCCTAGGCTCACTCAAGTTGGCTTATCTGCATATGAACTATAACCCAGGGCCCCAGGGTCACATGCTAGAATACTATGAGTACCACAAATTTCAAAGTGGCTTGTGGAAATGAGTGACTCACTCCACAGTGACATGTCCTCAAATGTTGGTCACACACGATGAAGGAGAATACCCCTGGCACATTGTAGAGATGTGCTTCTATTTTCACAGAGAATTCCCCTTTGGGTTTCAGGTTTGGATCACTACTTCAGTATGTTTTATTTACAGCATTGGCTGTGTGTTTGTGAATGCCGGTGAAGTGATGAAAATCAATGTAATATTTCATCGTGTTGTGCTTGATGCAGAACTAGAAATGTCTGTAATAAAAGAGATGGATGAAGGACTTCTGAAAATCAGGCACATGAATTTCAAATTGTTTTTTATGTTCTTAAGGTGCTTTTATTTTTCTGGTGTTTCAGTATATACAATACTTAATGCTTAACTTGGAAAAACAAAAAACAAAAACCCTTGCCAGGGAGATGGCTCAGGTGGTAAAGTACTTGCCATGCAAGCATGAACATCCAAGTTTTGTCCCCACCATCCATGTGTGAAGCCAGATGAGGAAGTGTGCACTTGTAATGTCAGTGATGGGGGAGGTGAGGGTGGCACTGGCTGGACAGATTGTGGAATCCATAAGCCCTAGGTTCCGATGAGAGGCCCTGTCTCAATAAACATAGTAGACTATCCATGAGGTGGAACAATACCAAAGGTCCCGGCTTCTACAAGGCCCATCCAAAATCCTGCACACAAATGGACTGGGGACACACACAGAATCCTTAAACTTGCAAACCGTTTATTGTGGGAATCAGTGTGTTTTCTGTTGTGTTCTCGTGGATTATCATTTCAACCCTGTTTATTCCCGAAATGGATAGGGGAGAGATAGGGATGTGTTCTTCCTATGGAAGAGGAGAAAACGTGGTCCCGCACAACGTGCATTGGCTCGTCGGGTTGAGAGGCCTGTTTGGAATAAGCAGCCTCTTCCCTGGCCTGGAAGGACTACTGAGGAGCAGGCAGGCCCAGAGAAGGTTCCCCCTGGTCACTGTTTACCATGTGGGGTGCTCTCACCTCATATCCACTGCTCTCCTCTCTTGGACATTTGCCCTTTGTTTTTCATTTTGAAGGGATCCATCACAACCTTTGGCCAGCTCAATCATTTAAACAAAGGACAGTCATCCTATCGACATGGTGCACTTGTAATGGCTGGAGGCTTCCTATAAATTGCTGCTTTGTCTTTAGCGTTTATAGAGTAGATATAAGAGGATGTTCCCAAATGTTAAAGGTGCTGCTGAATAAAAACTGAGGCTGAGTTCTTCATGAAGTCCAAATCTCAACAGCTGCTTGGGTGCCTGTAGACTCAATGCATCTTACACAGCAGAATAAACTCTTGATCATCTCCACACATCCGTTCTACCCAACTGCAATGTCTACGCTCTTCTCTGAAATAAAAACCAGGATAAATGTGTCTCTAGGCCATTCATATGTGTTCTCTTTGCCCTTTGACACCTCACCTCCACAGTGGCACCCGAGGCTCTCCTGTTACACCTCTCTTGGAGGCAGAACTATTTCGGATGCTTGAGCTTTCCTACTGATAAGCTGAGATCACCTGCACATTTGAAGTGCTTTGTGCTTTGGTTTCAAAGAGTAACAGGCCTCTGTTTTGCATCAGGGGCCAAGAACATAGATGACAGGTCTTAGCCATCAGCTTTGGGGCATAGAGTGCCCTTTGGTGAAAGATAATGTGCAGTCCTGAACTGTAATTGTCATAGAGGAAAGTTAGACAGGCTCACTTTGAAACAAGTTCTGGCACTGAACATACCTCAGCAGGCCTGAGGTCCCAGCATCAGAGCTGAGACCTGTTCCTCCACTCGCCCACCTCACTTTGTCCATCTGTATCTTCTATCATGACCGTGGAGTGTGAAAAGCACTGAGCCCATTCCCTTGAACCTAGGAGAGGCAGAAGCCCCCTGGGATGTCTCCCTTTTCTAGAGTTTGCACCTGGATCCCACGCCTGCTGTGTGAATTACAGGGATTACAGGCGGCTACCAGGTCTGCCTGGATTTTGCATGGGTTCTGGGTATCTGAGTGCTTGTCCTCTCGCCGTGAGGCAAGTGGTTATCCATCTTCTTGGCGTCCATTTATTTTAAAGACAAGGTCCCATGAGGATGGCCTGGAACTCAATTTATAGCCAAGGATCACTTTGAATTTTGATCATTATCCCTTCACCCATCAAGTTGCTGGGGTCACAGGTATGTGCCACTATGATGGGCTTATTTGGTACTGGGAATTGAACCCAGGGCTCCATGCATGCCAAGCAAGCACTTGCCCTACACTTCTAGCAAGTTTGATACAATTGTCACCCCTCTTTCAATCCTGTAGCATCAAAGATGACATTGCTGTCACTTATGGTGCAAGTCAGGCTTGGTCCCCAAGGAAAGCAGAGTATGAATGAGGATGACCCTGGAAGTCAGTGGAAGCTAGTGGCCACCGGGGGGCATAGTTGGTTCTGGTTTGGCCAAATAGCCTTGCAAAGCAGCCTCTGTTCTGACCAAAGGCCTCTCCTGACATGTAGCTTGGAGAGCAGCCAGTTTGTGGACTGGACTTGTATAGGGGTAGGGGGAGTTTCTTCAGGGAACTGTAAGTATTAATGTCCCTCAGATTGGCTCAATTTAAGGTCCAAATTCTTCGTGGGCTTTGGAGGCCGAGCAGTCTGTTTAGATTTAAAACCCATTCTTTGTGATTCTCTAAGTCTGGTTTGGCCCTGGAGGATCAGGGAGTTTGTTAAAAACACACGTGTTGGGGAATCTTACCTAGTCCTACTGACCCTATAACTGGGCATGGGCCTTTGAGATACATTTTAATAAGTCCTTGTGGGGTTTTAGATGTATGTACATACTGTGGATAATGCAGCTCAGGCCTGTGCACACATCTGCCTTTCATCTGGCTACTTCAGGAATGCTGTCCACCAAGGACTCACATGAGCTCCACCCCACCCTGCTCAAGCCGGGTGTGAAAAAACATCTCACCTCTTCCTAGAAAGGACCTTGGAGATCCAGCCCACAGGTTCTCGCCTAAGTCACAGGGTGTCCTCATGACCCTGTGGCATGAGGTATCCAGTGACATCTGCCTTCCTGCGGCATCCCAGATGGGAGTCACAGGCCTGGCAACCTGGCCAGAGTGAGAGCGCAGGGAATGGGGCCAAGGTGGATGTGCCCAGATTCCTAATGTTCCCTTCCTCCCTGAAATGGTTGGGAACCTTGAGGAGCCTGTCCCTGTGCCAGGGATCTGTTCACTGGTGCAGGAAGTCCATTCAGCCTGCATTACTTTTAATGCGTTTTTGCAAGCAAGTGGCCTCTTCCTGTGACTCACTCCGCCTTTTGTGTGCCGGAGATGGTGGTTTGAAGTTTCACTACGGAAAGTAACCACCAGCACCGTCGCTTTCTCTTGAGGCTGGAACCCCAGCAAGTTGCATTCATTTTGCAAAAGAGAAACATAAATGGAGGCATAGCCAGTCATGTTTCTCCCATGGCTGTAAAAACATGCTTTTCTGAGATGGTCTGAAGATCCAAGCTGAGGAGAAATGGCTTACATTTTCAAGTCACACATTCATTCCAGGACTTTGCTCTTTCCCTCCAGAATGCATTGTCTTCTTGATCCACTTTTCAGGGTTATCAAAAACAAAACAAAACAAAAAAACCCACACTGCTAGTTGATTGGGTGATCCATCCCCTAGTGGACTGAAAGTGATTCAGATCTGGACCAGAGTTTGGGTTCTCATTACCAGACAGCACAGAAAGAATGATGCAAATAGAATTGATTGAATAATGAAGTATTTCACCTGGGTCTTCCCTAGCAGTCGGTTCATGGGCCTGCATACATGCATTTCTTAGGATAAGCCAGTATAGGTTAAGTGGACAAATACCACAGAGCAACTACCCACCCCTTAGGTGTGAAGAGTCATTTTCAAAATGTAGAGTTGAACCAAATTATTATCATCACCATTATATTTGGATTTTTAAAATGTGTTTTGACTGCTTGTATGTAAGTACCAGGAACAAGCTGGGTGCCTGTGGAGGCCAGAAGAGGGAACTTGATTCCCCAGGAACTGGAGTTCCATGTGATTGTGAGTGGCCCAGCGTGAGTGCTAGGAATCAAGCCGAGGTCCTCTGAAACTGCTGAGCGTATCTCCAGCTGAGATTATTATTTTGAGACGGGGTTTCATGGATCCCAAGCTGGTCTGCAACTGGAATTTGCAGTGTGAATGAAGATGGCTTTGCCTTCACCTCCATTAAAGGTGTAAATCATCACACCCAATGTATGTGGTGCTGGGAACCTAACTCAGGGCCTCATGCATGGTAGTCAAGGACCCTAACGTGAGCTACACTCCCAACTTCAAAAAAAATTTTTTTTGACATAATTCTTTTTGTGCACAACAATCAAGCCCAATGGCATTTAAAATCAAGTGCAGCTAAAACTGCAGTGGCCAGAGTCCCAATTAACACTAATGTGACATTCTGAAAAGCTGATGTGGGCTTGTGAAATGATGCATTTGATGTTTCATTTCTCGACTTGGTTCTTTCAGCCATCTTTGTCATTAAGCACTGACCTTTCTGAGGTTTAGGATGAACAGTCTTACTCCCTGTTTGCCTGGATGTTTCGCTGGTGAAGAATAATTGTACTTTGTTTCCTCTGGTGCTGGGAATAGAACCCAGGGCCTTGTGTGTATGAGGTGAATGTGATTTCACTGAGTGTTTTCTTCAGCTCAATTCCAGGGTAAGGAATATGGTACTGGTTTTGATAAGGTACTTTAAAAGGTCTTTTTTTTGTATATTTATGCATGCAATGTGTGATTGTGCACATGTGTTCATATGTGTGGTTGCAGGTGCATTTGTGTTCCTGTGTGATTATGTTTGTGTTCATGTGTGTGTGCATGTGTGTTCATGTATGTGATTGTGTGGGTACATTTTATGTTCATGTGTGTGATTGTGTGGGTACATTTTATGTTCATGTGTGTGATTGTGTATGCACATATGTTCATGTGTGTGAATAAATGTTCATGTATGTGATTGTAGGTGCTCACTAGCTATGGTATATGTGTGGAGGTTCAAGGACAATCTTGGATGCTGGTCCTCTCCCCCACCCCTTGTTTGTGGCTTATTGTTTTCACCCAGGCTAGCTGCCCCACAAGAGTCCAGGATTACCCTGTTTCTGCTTCCCATCTCCCTGTAGGCATGCTGGCTTTCTAGATACTTATTTAAACAACCTGCATGCTGAGGGGGTTTGGTTTGAATGTTTGTTCCAGGCCAGTTGAAGCTATACAGCGAGACCATGCCTTTATTTTATATTTTTATTCATTTATTTTA